ATAAATAGAAAATACATAAATAAATCAAAAAACTTAGAGGAAATAAGTGCAGAAAGGTAGAGGAAGTAGAGAAGACAAAAGGACAGAAAAAGATAATAACATGAGGCATTTTAAGAACACGATTCCTCTTTTATTCTAATTCAACCCCCCAGGGAGTCATTATTGAGAGAATAACTGTGTAAATGTTGTTGAATCAGTGTGTTTTTAAGTGTGTGTGTTGCTTTAATAATGCAGAGCAGGGTTGCTGTCAGCCGCGCCCGTGCTGCTGTCATTAACGTTGACGTGCAGATGGTGGGAGCCTGTTAAAGCGCTCTCACCTCGGTCCTCCACTCCATACTGTTTATGACCAGCCGCCATAATGCACCGTAATGCACTGCCAGCTATTAATTATAATCAACATCCTCTCCTATAGAGTCTCTGCTCTCTTACCTTGACGACTTCTGTCGGTCTCTGAGTTTCTACATGCACTGTATGAAGTAAAAAAACAACAACAAAACAATACATAACATTTTAGAATATAAATGCGTACATTACACAGACACACTTAACTAGCACCAAAATCTGACAGAATACTAATAAACCTTTTTTCATTTGCATGTTTACAGCGAAAACCTACATTTACATCAGAATTGTCACATGTAAGTTAGTCTTTACAGACCAATACACTGGGGGGGGCACTGATTGATGCAGAAGGTGGAATGAAGTATGTGTCTCAGCTTTCCAGTCATTCACAGTTTATGCAATTCCAACATTGTTTATGGACTCCAGTATGCAGAAATATTTAAATACACTAAATTCATCAACTAATTTATACCACATGCAAAAAAACAGCATTAGCATAAAGTGTCTGCAAACAGGAGACTCGTGGGTTCCCATAGAACCCATTTTCATTCAGATATCTTGAGGTCAGAGGTCAAGGGATCCCTTTGAAAATGGCCACGCCAGTTTTTCCTTTGCCAAAAATGTAGCCTAAATTGGGAGCATTGTTTAGCCTCCTTTTTGACATGCTAGCATGACATGGTTGGTACCGATGGAAGCGTCACCCTGGTCTTCTACCTTCAGATCATACCAGTATCTTCACTCTGCAGCCTCTGAAAGACAGAGGTATAAAGGATAATGGGTATATAATTCCTGTTTTAATGTAGAGCAATAAATTAATTAATCCTGTGAATATTGATCAGAGATGAGGAACTTTTTATCCAATCCTCTGCCTGTATTATGTGATTTTACAACCATACATACATAGACAAATTTAGAAATTCCTTCTCCCTGATATCCAATGATCCAATGCAGGACGAGGCTGTTTATCAGACAGTAAAGGCTCTGTGAATATAGCCTAACTTTGAAGATAGTTCAGGTCTTCAAAGTTGATATTTTAAATAATAATCTAAACTTTAATAATAATATAATATAAATTTCTTACAGCTCTTAAAATCAAGAAGGCTTTGCAACTCCCTATAAAACTTTGGCGACCTCTAGTGGGGGTCCCGACCCCAGGTTGGGAACCACTGATGTTGAGTACACTATGAGGGATGAAAACAACTAAAATGTGTCTAAAAGTATTTTTTCATAGTAATTCTAAAATAGCTGCCTAAACTAACACTGATAAAGTGAATACTGACCCCCTCAAACCTTGTGTGTTTGCTGTCAGGTCATCTTCACCAAGAGTGAGTGAGTGAGTGCACTCTCTTTTACGTGATATTGCTATGCCCTCTGCAGGAGGATGAGGAGTACCTACTGCTCCCCTTCACCTAATTAAATCCCTCGTATGCCTACTCATGTGCTGAATTTTTGACATTTATTGATCAGTGAAGCTGCATTTGTAAAGCTGGGAAACATGCTTAGAAACATTTGGTCCCTCCAGGGTCCAGTACGGTCATAAAGTTGAACTTCACACACTTTTTTAAACGTCTTATTTAGCAAATTACCACAAGTGATGCTAGTTATGGCAATTTGAACCTTTTAAACCACTCTCTGTTGGCTGTTATTTTCATTAGGCTCTATAATCCGACATCCCCTTTATGAGCGATCAGACTCAGTCCGTTCCTCCTGCAGCCTCCGAGGAGACATCTTAACCCGAGAGGAGGGTTATTAAGACGGATGAGACATCATTTGCTTCAAGGCTTTTACCTTGAGGGAGGAAAATACACTTTCAAAATAACCCATCACTTGCCTCTAAGTGGTAAATGTAAGACCTTTGATTTGCTTAACGCGTGCTGCCTCTGCTTTCAAATGATGTACTTGAAGGTACCGAGCGCCTTAATGGTTTTCAGGAAATGCCACTTTTGTGTTGGAGTGCTGCGAAATCTGCGCGTCTTGTTAAAGGATAACCTTCTCTCCTCGCCTCCCCTCTCCCGTGCATTAGAGGGAAAGTGTGCGTGTAGCCTATAGGCGGTGTCTGCACGTCGGGGGAGTGTGTGTGACCGTGCTCTGATAGCGTGTCAGAGTGAATTAGCCTCCGCGTGGCGTCCGCCTGGCACACACCGCTGCCTGCCCTCTGCCCACCGCCCCGCATATGTGCCCAAGATTAGAATTAATAACCAGTGCTGCCAATCATGCTTTAATCACAATAACTCTGCATTTAGGGGGCGCAGGGAGGTCGCAGGCATCTGGGCCTCAGGATGGCCAATCTGGAGCAGCTAATAAGGCGGGTCTGTGTGTGTGTGTGTGTGTGTGTGTGTGTGTGTGTGTGTGTGTGTCCCTGATGGACTCATTTTCAGTGTTGGTGGTGGCAGCTGCTCAGGTGAGCCACAGAGACTAACAGGAAGAGTACAGGATAAAAAACACACACTGTTGGGTTGTGTATACTGAAGTAAAGTCTCATGTACACTGTAAACAATGAGTAACTGTTGCGTCTGGGTCCGTTTTGTTAAAGCAAAAACCCCTAAAGTAATGTGTGTGTGTTAGAATAAATGTATATACATGACAAAATAAATAGCCAGTATATGAAATATATTATGAAATGCAAAGTTTGTCTATTTTATTTATTTTAAATCAATAAATACGATTTTCTAACTTATTCTGCTGAAACTACAGAAGCTCATTCATGTTAGAAAAAAGAAAACAAGACAAAATGTAAAAAATGACAGAAAGTACTGAATGTTCCCATGTCAGTGTTTTACTGTTATATTAATATTACTGCTGCATTAATGTTGCATTTTACTGCTGTAGATGTTTAAGATGTTCATTTGAACTACTTTATATATTGTTGGTAGTTTTAATTTACAGCATTACTGCAATTTACTGCATCAAATTCTATAAGATCATCATATGTTTGTACTATTTGAGAATTTACAGTGTTATTTTAGAGAAAACGTTTATATCCCAACTGGATTCTGGAGCTTTTTCAGCCCCTTAAAGATATAATCTAACATTTTCACATTAAAATATCTGTCATTAAAATCTGTCATTTTATTCAGGTAACGCTGCGTTTCATAGGTTGCCTGGAAATGGCATCATATATTGACTTTTAATCCAGTTTAAAGCCACATTTTTACTATCCACTGTTTAGATCTTGGTGGTTTTTAACTCGAGATTTGAACGGGATGAAGGATTTTAGTCATCGGACGTCTGGATCTAAAGTTATCAGAGAAACAAGCTGAGTGTCATATACATGACCTAAGGTGGTTGGTTACCATTGGTACCAATCATGTCATGATGGCATGTCAGGAAAGAGGTTCAATAACACTCAAGATATGGAAATGGGTTCTATGTTTACCACTTTGCAGATACTTTATGCTCTAATCTTATGCAGTCTGGGGCAAAGAAATCATGTTGTATAACGTGTTATCGTAGCGTATAGAATATTTCTGCATGCTTCTTCTCTAGTGGCACTAAGGTGTGGCCATATTGCAGCGGCCACGTTCCACTGCTTCTTTAATACGCAGACACATCCTCTAATTGCAATCAAAAACACAAAACAACATATGTCAGGCCCTCAGAGACCGGCGGCGGCGTGTCCAGCAGGCTCCTCAAATGATGAGTGATGCTTGACAAATGAAGACGAAATTGGCTCCATAAATTATCCTCTCTGTACAGTCAGCTGTAACGACTGATCGAGGGAAAGGAGGGCGATGGTGTTGATGGGTAAAACAAGAAGATGGATAGAGAATGGAAGAGAAATGGAGGAATATAAGGAAGAAGAGAGGTGGAAAGCAGGAAGTTCTAAGTAAGTACCACAAAGCTACATTCATGATGTTTAATCTGAATAAAAGTAAAAAGGTTTTTTTTATGTCAATCATTACCAATAAAGCTGCTCTTTCACTATAAAGATCTGGTCATTGCACTGTTACATACAAAATATTAGTTTTTCCATTGAGCTCTGTACTAAGGGAGCATATAACACCAAACTTCCTTTAAGAAATATCACATTTTAACAATTCCTAATGTGTCTGTACCAAGTCACCCTAGAAACACGAGCTAAAGGCCGTCATATGTCCACAATCTGACTGTCAATACAGGATCAATATCATCCATAAATAAACTGTTTGATTATTTAGTGGCCTAAACTTGCTACAGCGTCCATTGTAAGTGGGAGAAGACTGTGGGAATGAGAGGCAGACCGATAATTAAGATTTCTCACTAACATAAGTATTGGTTGGTGGATTAAATATCTGCTGAATTAAACAGACTCATTAATGCCGTTCATTCACCCTCTATTATTGCCTTATGAGGAACTACACAAACAGTGAAAGGCAGAGGGTTTTAACATCTTCAATAACTGATACAACTTATCAATACAGGTTTGTATTGTCACTCCTCCTTTATATGACACAAGTACAATAAAATACAAAAGTATAAACCAACGGAAAAAGAGACTACAAATGATTATTCCAGTTAACATTTATATTTTATTGATTTGAATTAACTTCCCAATATAATCAATATTTATATTTTGTCGTGTCAGATACTGACAAACAGCAATATCCAAGATTACATAGTCTTGAATGACTGATCAAGCTATAATGGATAAAATGACAAACAAGACACAATATACATTTTCAGGTACAGAACATATTAGCTTACTTTTAACAAAGCAACTGTTAGTATAAAAACATGCACTTGAGGAGACGTCAGACATCAAGCAGCAACATCGCTGTTCATCACATGAACAATATTGATCTGAGTGCGAGCCTCCCGCAGCCTCTGTTTCTGGACACTGTGACGAACGCCGTAACTAAAGTAGATGATCAGGCCTGAGGAAAGATGGGTTTATTTCAGATCTCTCCGCAGATTGTGCACAAACCTGAAAGAATAAACTACAATGTCCTCACCTACTGCCATCCAGACCGCATAGCTGATCCAAGTTTCTCCTCCCAGCTGAACCATCAGGTAGGTGTTGATGAAGACACTTAAAACTGGAATTACAGGCAGACAGGGAACCTACAAAACAGATCGACTCATGACTGGTTCTCCCATGTCAAAGCACTTACAGTATATATAATGGACACAGCTTCTGGGTCTGAAGTGAACCCAACGCGTATCCTAAACATGCAAACTGCATGCAATGGCCAGCAGGGGGGTAATACCATGCAGTTTTATGGAGATATGAGACGACTTCTAACTTGGAGTACCATTTTGAAGTCTCGAGAGGAAAGGTTTAGCATTTTGGATATAAAGGTTTTAGTTTTTGCAAAATATGCAGTTACAGTCAGAAGCTCTACTGCTCATTAATTGTGAGGTCAAGTTTTAAAATATTTTTTTGTGTCATTTGGGGTCCTTTCAATGAGCACATAACGTCTTTGCCACAATCTTTTGGTGCCCCTTTACAACCCACTGACTGACCCACCTAACACCTTCTCCCTATTGGAACTGGAAATCCTCATGATGCATGAAATCCTGCCTACCACCACCACTCCTCCAGTTTACCATGAAAGCAGCTCTGGTTGCGCTCTGCGGTTGCCTCCAGATGATCGCGACAGCGAAGACCAGCGCCAGCATGAGGACAGAGACGAGCAGCACGCTCCACGACTCTCGTCTGCGGAGGGAGAACACTGCCTCGGACATCAGCACGCATAAACCAGTCACCAGGAACACTGCGGAGGAATCACGTATATCAAGCCGTCAGGAAAAACTCTGCAGTTTGTTTAGTGTTTTTGTGTTTCAGTAACTCTGGAAAGTGGCACCGCTGGAAAACCATGATCAAAAAGTATGATATGACTTACAAATGACAACGGTGACTACATTGACGTTTTTGGAGGTGCGGCGGGTGGGTCGAGGCGGAGGCCTCAACAGTCCTATTAGAGTAAACGGTTCCGACCGGTGAATGAAACCGGTGTCTTCTTTGTACCTGAGACAACAACAAAGTCATCAGAAAACAGTAAATAACAAAAAGGAAAATACCAACAAATCACTAAACTGCAACAACAAATTAAAAAAAACAAGACACAAAGAACATCCTCTTTGCTGTTATGATTTTGTTGGTCAAATTAGTTGTTCCTTTGTCTGAAATTCTATTAAATATTAATATTGTGCCTTTTTACTGAAAAGATATCCTTTACATCGAGCGTACATACCTCAGTACAAGAATACACACTGCAACCAGACTGTATGCAAAGATGGTCCCGATTGCACTCATGTCCACCAGTGCCTTTAAGTCAAATAACAGGACCATGAAAGCTGCGGAGACATCCAGATATGTTACTGAGCAAACTAGAGTCTGTGGGAATGGGCTTTAGAAAAACCTCACTTCTTTAAATGCTTATGTTTTACCGGCCGCAGCTCCTGAAGACAGCGTGGCTAAGACCGGACTCTGTCTGGAGCTCATGTAACTAAGAGGCTTGAAGAGCAGGCCATCCCTCGCCATGGCGAAGAGCACTCGAGGCATTGGAAACATGACTCCCAGCAGACTGTAGAAGAACAACAGCGCACAATCAGGTTAGACATTCAGTTCTGCCAGGCAATCAACAGATTTAACACAAAGATAACATTGTCAGAGACGTTTAGAATATACTTTAAGAGGTCAGTTTTAATGAAAAGATGCTGTTGGTTTCATTGTGGAGTCCAGAGGTTTTTCCAGTTTGATCCATACTACAGCCTAAAAGTCAGGACAACTTGGTTTCCCACATTCACAAGAAGGCACAAATGAAGAACAACAAAGTCATAGACAGTGTTTATAAAGTTTCTCCTCACCCTATAACTCCCAAAATTGGGAGATTTTTCAAGGGAGTCTGGTGATATTTCGGTTACTAGTTCTGTGGCCAAATCAGTTGAAACAGACTGTGTTCACAAACATCAGGTAAAAGAGCCCAAGCATGTAATTTACATTACAGGGAACTAAACAGACAACGCATTTCTGTGGTCTTATCAGTGGAGTAGGCGGTCATTCAATGTGGCCCAGGATTCATTAGCATTTACACTACAGAGGATATGTAATCAAATTACTTATTGCCAAAGTAAGTAAGTCTGTTATCTGTGATGTGAAAACATCAGATTCCCTACACAGTCAGAGACACTAAAAGCATCTTCTATAGGACTAGTACCTCGTTGTGAGTGCACAGAGGGATCCCACAGCCACAGCGTACTTCGCAGGCTCCCAGCCAACATACTCAAAGGCCACAGGTAGAGGGCTGTGGCTGTCAATCAGATAGTAAGGCATCAAAAGCGTCAGAGCAGCCGACACCCCAAAGTAGGCCAGGAAGCAGATGAGCAGGGACGCCACGATCCCAAGAGGTATGGCTTTCTCTGGGTTCTGCACCTCCTCCCCTGAAGGAACACAACGTTAGCTTTTCTTTCCTGTTCCAGTGGTTGAAACTTATCTGAGGTACACTGCACACAAAATGTTTTTATTTCAAGTATGTGAACAGGCTTCATGTCTAATTTATGGGTGCCTTCATACCTACGTTCTTCGGCCTGGACTTCCTGATTTTTCAGTTTGATCTGAACCAAAATTACAGGTGAGAAACCTGCCTCAGACCATTATATAATCTGCAAACCAACAATCGAGAAGTAAATGTGGATTTAATATTAGGGCCAACAGAAGAACATCTACTCAAATTATTAGGACTGCCCCCTAGTCGCAGTGTGCACTGCTTTATAAGGTTGCGTCTGCGTTGCGGTTTTGCTCCGTGATCCACGCATCTTCAAAACCCACCTCAGCCTTTCAGAGGTAGAGTGTCTTCAGAATGTTGCCTGCCAGACGTTGTTTACTTGTGTATGTTGTTCTTTAAAAAGGAAAATCTCCTCTGACTGCCACAATGTTGATCTAATGTGAAAGTCTATCTAGAGTCTGTATGCTATATTTTATTTTGAAAATTGACGGAAATCTCTCTGCTGTTTCTAAACTTGACTTCCTGTTTTTTTTTCCCCCGTAGGTTTTCGACTCATCCTCTACGGTACCTGTTGTGGCGATGCAGTCAAATCCAACAAAAGCGTAGAAACAGGTCGCTGCTCCTGCTAATGTGCCATCAAAGCCGAAGGGAAAGAAGCCCCCAACACCAAAGTCAGCCACGTCAGTTTCATTCTGCGTCAATGAAAGGTTCCTGTGCAAAGAAAAATAAATCTTTATTGATCACTTTCATTCAGAGTAATCATGTAAACTCTCATGTTCTCCATTATTTACTGTGGTTCTGCCTTCGACAGACAGCCTCCTTCTTTTTGCACGTATCCAAAATCCTGTTGATGTCCAAGTCTTTCATAGTGTTTAACATGAGTGTTTGTCCTTCCGACCAGAAATGTGGGCTTTTTATTTGGTGTTTCTAGTTTTCTGTTTGTTTTTTTCAGACATGTATCTGTTAGTATGTAATATTTCTGAAAGGTAGTTTGGTTTAATATTGTCTCCAAATGTACAGAACACAATGAAAAACTAATATTTGTACATGTAACAGTTCAATAAACTGAGCTTTATAGTGAAAGAGCAGATTTATTTGCCAGGTCAGAAGGATAATTTGACACTTTCAGGTGTTAATTAAATCAAAGTTGTCCTTCCATACTAATCTTAAACCTTTAACTAGAACTATGTATTTCTGTGTATCACTACAAACATGTTTGTATAAAACAAGTAGTTTTAAATTTAAAAAAGTATGACATCTGAGACCTACTGATCACATCTGAAAGTATAGCTTAGACTGATTTAGACTAACCTTTTATAATATAATGTAATATAATCATTTGAATTAGCACAAGTGTAAAAGCAGAAATCTTACTCCATCTGTCGAGTTGCATTCAGGATAGTCTCCTGACTGATTCGCCAGTTGTTGAGGTCTCCTTTTATAAAACCAGAAATTATGATAAAAACCAGCACAGTTATATTCACTGCAGTAAAAACAGTGTTTAGGACCGCTGACTCCTTCACACCGTACGCAAGAACCCCTGAAAGAAAAGAAGAAGCTGTGAAATATGTAACTGAATTTCAGCTTGTAGAATATTCTCCACTTTCTTTTACAGACCAGCGAGCAGCATAATCAGCCCGGCAGCAAAGAAGTCTGGGTACGAAGCCAAGCCAGGGGAGTCCATTGGTGTGTGTTTCTCCAGAGTTTTAGCAATAACGTTGTCAATGAGGTCATCGAAGGTCCCGGTCCAGGCTTTCGCTACACTGGATGTTCCTGAGAAGAACAAAACATTGAAAAAGTCACAACCATTGTCCCCTCTTCAAATTAACACCAGCAAAAGGTCATTTTTACTACTTAGCTGATCAAATAGCACATCTATCATGATGTGTCTTGTAGGTGGGAAAATGTATGTCTAAATTTATACCCTAAATTTGAGCTTTTGTGGCAGACAAATAAT